AGTAAACAGAAAGAGATTATGCCATTGACAAGTCTAGTAATACATATGAAAGATATAGAAAAATATTTTAAATATATAAAAATATAGAAAAAATAATCTATGCAATCTATATTAATAAAAGGTGAATTTTAAATACTGGTGAGGTTTGGGGGAATTGACCCGTGATGTTGGGAATTGTAGTTCACCCACAATCAAAGACCACTATGAACCCCATTGATGATAGATATAGACCAAATCTGGCACATATTCCCATCATGAGCAATAGAAAATACTGATGGAGTTTAAAGGAAATTGAGCCATGATGTTGGGAGTTGTAGTTCACCCATATTCAAAGAGCACTGCAAACGTCACTGACGATGGAACTATCCAAACGTGGCACACATACCCACCATGACCAATTTTAAATACTGGCAGGTTTTGAGGGGCGATGACCGATGACAATTGGAGCTATAGTTCACCCTTATTCAAAGAGCACTGTGAACCCCACCAATGATGGATCTGGATGAAACATAGCACACACACCCATCCAGACCAACTTTAAATACTGGCGTGGTTTGGGGGGCATTGAGAGAGGATGACAGGCATTACAACTGCAAAACAACAGAGGGGAAACAAACAGGCACATAAAATCACTCTCAACAAGAGATTCCCCCCAGGCGCTTCCAGGCCATTGAATGCAAATCAAGGTGATCAGCTGAAACATTCACAGCTAGCCCCAGCAGTCAGGGGTCCTTTGTCTCACCCTGGTCATCCCACAGATATATAAACCCATTTTTCCTACTTCCAACAGACCTCACTACCTCTGAGGATGCTTGCCATAGATGCAGGTGAAACGTCAGGAGAAAAATTGCCTCCAGAACATGGACATATAGCCCGGAAAAACCTACAACAACCCAATGACAGGCATTATAGTCCATTCACATCCATCATACTGTGTGTAAACTACATCCTGTGAAACATCTGTAATTTTAATGGGTCCATTCAAAAAATCCAAAATTAAACTATGACTATACATGGAATTATATGATGTAACAAAATCTGAAACATTTTCTGTTCCTGGTTTGAAAGTGTTATTTCCAGTTTAATTGTGCAGTACTTAGTTTGAAAGTAGTTGTTATAGTCCAGAAACTTCGTTTTTTCTGGCTGCCACAAACTATGTAGAATTAATTGAGACTCTATGAGATATTCACTGAAAAACAATAGCAAAATGTGCTGCAGGGTGTCCTTGGGCAAGTCACATCTTATCTTCAGATGAAGTGTAGGGGAAAACCACTCTGAATAAAACGTGTCATGAAAACCCCGTGATGGGGTTGCCATAAGTCAGAATCTACATAACAGTGCACAGCAACAAAATCACAGACCACACCTTCATCCTGACGTAACAGACTACTGCAGACTGTTTCCCCAAACACGTTGAACAAACAAAATAACTGACTAGCAAATACAACCCCAAAGATACTTGTTAAGGAGCACAGAGGGGCCAGAGTCCTTCAAACTGCTAGAGGTAACTCATTGAATTTTAAGCTCCTACAAATGAAGCATTTCTTAGTCTTTTGACTCAAAACTGGCATCATAAAAAGGCCCATAAGTGATTGCAATTCTGTGTATAAGCTGTCTCAATTTACATGCTTTAGTTGGCATTCAGCATGGGACTCTTTTGCCTGAACCTAGAATAAAAGATTTGGCACAGAGTATGAGAAAGATTCTAAACAAGCAAAAGAATCACAAAGTGCTTATTTGAACAGCTTTCATGAAACAGCAACAACACTATTTTGTTTATAGCAACCTATGAGTTGTATGCCACATGTCCAACATGCAATATGTTGATGGATACAGATTTTATAAACAGCAAACTGCTTGAATCTAATGTTTTTGAATTTGATCCCCTCCCCACCAAAACCCCCCAAAAGATTAAAAAGTTACTCGTAAACCCTCAGGTCTCTCTCTCTCTCTCTGTGTGTGTATTTGACTTTAACATAGCTGCCTAACAGTTAGATAGCTAAACTAATTTTAAAAGTCATGTTAAAGAACTAAAGTATTTTTTATCTACTACCAGCTTCTGGAGGTATGCTTGTTGGATCCCAAGGCCTGGCCCTGACTCTCCAGCTTTCATGGGTTGCCTCCAAGCAAGAGAGAAGAGTGCTCATCCTCTTGTTTTGGTGGACTCTGTCTGGTCAAAAGGTATGTAGAACTCAGCAGGGCACCAGCTTTCTACAATCTAAAAAGATGAATTGATTGGTTGCTGTAACTCACATGAGTCTACCTAATTACTTAATTAAACTTCTCCTTCTTTTCTAGCTGGAGTAGCACCAGGGCTCACCTGCTGCTGTGCATCTACCTTCTGGTTAGAAGCAACTTCGCTACAATCAATGCCCATTATCTTACCTCCCCAAGTGAAGTGAGAAGGAACAAACTCCTTATTTCACCATGATCAGAAAAGCATCCTTTAGCTAAATCTTAGGGGCCTACACTAGCAAAAAAATCCAGCTGTGATTCAGAGTACATGGAGTCCCTGAGCTACAAACATCTGACTTACAAAAAGCTCATAGTTACCAATGGAGGTGAGACAACAAGAAGTGAGAGAAATTTTCCCCTAGGAAGGGAAATTCATTCCTGAAAGAGTTATCATGGGGAAAAGATGTCTCCACGAATCTGTGTTTCCACATGCCAAATGTTTCACATCCAGTTATCACAGGGACAGAAAGTGAGGTCTTCTGAACAGGGGCACAGACAGCAAAATAAAGACCACAGAGGTGTTACCTTTCCCTATGCTATCCAAAGCAAAACAAAAACCACACATATTATCTCATAGATTCTCCTTGCTGGTGTTACACTTAAAAATGTACCTGTTTTGACTTACAAACAAATTCAACTTCAGAACAAACCTAAACAATCTTGTTTGCAAGCCTCTTGAGATCAATGTTCATTCAGAGAGAGAGAGGAGTCAGAGATCTGAGAATTTGTAGATGCATCACCCCTTTTTTCAAATAGCAACTCTTGGGAGAAAGGTGAAGTAGTGGAAATGGGGTCCCTTCTATTCCTTTGTTTGTTGTGCTTATACCTTATGAAGTGGCCTATGGCTGGTGGCCTACATGACACCAAGGGATACATCCGCTCCTGTTCTTAATTTGGACCTATTTGGGAGACAGTGTTCAGTACCACAGATCTTTTAATGTTCAGACTAAACCAAGGAGTGGATTCACTCCCCCACAGACATTTGAGCCAGTGATAACCACTGCTTTTGACACCTCCCCCTGGTAGTGGCCAGAGTACCATTGGCTGGAGAGTTATAACTAAGTTAGCTGGATTTATTATAAAAGATAAAGTTTTTGATCATGTTCTTGTGTGCCTTCTAGTAATTTCCCACTTATGGTGACCCGAAGACAAACTATGGGTTTTCTGAACCTGAGAGTGATTGATTTATCTAAGGTCACCCAGTGGGTTTTCAGTTTAGGAACTGAACCTTGTTCTAGAGAAGTGGTCCTCAACTTGTGGGTCCCCAGGTATTTTGGACTACAACTCTCAGAAATCCCAGCCAGTTTACTAACTGTTAGAATTTCTGGGAGATGAAGGCCAAAACATCTGGGAACCCACAGGTTGAGAACCACTGGTCTTGAGTCTTAGTCCACTATTTAAAACCACTACACCACACTGATCTTGGCTGCTCTTAAATTATTTTAATAAAATACATTTCAACAAACAAACACCCAAGAAAGCTGAATCTGATGCTGCCGTTTTAACAGTGCCAACGTGACATTAAATATGAAAGTTCAGACTTATGATAATGTGAAAAGGGAACATATATTTTCATCGCTCATGTACACCTTTGCTTAAGCATTGATATAAAATGGAGAGATGACGGATGCTAAAAGTTAATTGGTTGTATAATTTCAAAATGGTCTTTGCAAGTTCAGGACTTTGGTTGCTTGTAAATTAGGGTACTCTTATAAAATCAAAAGTATCACCATAAATTCTCCTGCACAATAGTTAGAGTCTTAAATAGCTTCAAAGTTGTACAGTTCCAAGATTGTCAGTAACCTACTGTGGCTTTCTTCAAGATAAAATGAGAAGGGGTGGTGGCGGCTACAGATAATTTACTGAGTGTATAATTTATGAATTGATATTACTCTAATCTTATCAAATTGGAAGTACTGTGAAATAATTATTTTAAGGACAGTTGTCAAGCATTGATCATGTGCTGATATTTGCCATGTGATGGATATACATGTTATTATTTCTCAAGATAAGAGGGATTGGGAGTGGAGACCATTTAACTCAAAACCATGCCTATATACCTCTGAATTCCTACTGCATGTTTGCACACGTAAACAGGAATTGTGTTGACAGTCTACTTGCATCCCATAGCCCACATTTTCCCTACTTTTGCTCCAAGTAATGGAGGATTTGTTTCACGACTTTTATTTACATCCCTACACGATTCGCCACATATCTGGAATCAAACCATCCTTTTTCCTATATCAAGTTTTTTTGTTCTCATGCTAGAGCAATATGCATGCAATCAATAATCCTCTAAGTACTAGATTCTGGGAATGAGTAATTGGGTATGTACAAGATTGTATATGAGTGTTTGCTTCCTGCCTTGTTTATGAATTTCCAAGCAGCATTCTGTCAACACCTGCTGGAAGCAGAATAATAGCTCTTTTATGAAATCCATATAACATACATATACAAAAATAACTTTTTGTACGGTTGTAATTACTACAACACCCATGAACCATAAATCGATGAGTTACAAACTGAACAAAATGATAATAGTGAAGGGATAGAGGGAGAACTATAGCTCAACCCCACTCCAAATAAAATGCAGATGGAAATTATTGAATCCACATACATTTCATATTTAGGATACAATTTTCCTCAAGCCACTTGGGTCCACCTTGATGTATCAGTTTGACACTAGGAAATCACATATCGTGACATTAAGCCTATACAAAAAACAACATTGTTAAAAGAGTAGTAAAGTTGTGGATTTCACTTACCCTATCACAATGCAAGAAATTGCAGTCCCCAAAAAAGCGTATGCTAAAATGGATCCCAAGTTACGAAAAAAATGTCTCTGTAACACAGAACAGACAAAAAGTATTGGAACTGTTATGTATCTTAATATAAAACAGAAATGTATTTTTTACTTTTTAAGTCTAAAAGGCTTCAACCAAAAAAGGTATTTTGAAACTCTCATTATGTTTTTGTTCTCAGTCACCAGGTTTTAGGCAGGTGAGAGCAGGATTAATTTCTTCTGCAAAGTTTTCTTTCCAGTAAAACTCAACACTACAATGGTTGAATAGCTGAAAGTGAGAAGGCAGAGAATCTTATCTTTTTGCTAGCTTCATTGATTGAGATAGCAGGAATCTGCATTAAGCCAGCTCTTTCTAGTGAAGTGCAAAAAGCTTGCAGGTGGCAAAAAACTGCAGTTAAAATGACTCAATACTGTAAGAATACATATTAGGAATTCTTCAACTTCCATGAAAGCCCACAAAAAAAAATGAATCATTTCCCTTCCAATCATTTTCTGCAATAGCCTGTATGCAAAATTAGCATCTTTCTCCTTTCAGCACACACATAACAAGCACAAAAGGACTGGCTGATTGATCAAAAAGACACAAACAGCCCACCTAATAATATTGGCCCATGAAACAAGGCAACATGTATTGTTGTTTCAGATTTTGTGCTCCTACAGAAATGAATATGAATCAATCTTTAAAAACTTTGATGCCAGTGAAGACAATTTCTCCATGTTGCAGGGAAAAGGTGTTTTTTTTTGGGGGGGGGGTGGCATTTTGCTGTTTGCCATGCAAAGTCAACCCAACCATGCATGTCCCTTGGGGCTCCTGATTCTGGTTGTCTTGTTTCATTTACTGTCAGGTAATATGAGGTGAGAAACTCCCTCCTGGGCACTCCCAGAAGAGTGGATGCCCTAGAAGGTGCTGAACAGGCTGCACTCTGGGAATGTGAGATGCAGAGCTAACCTTAAGAAATGGGGCTACAAAGTGGAGTCCATGACATGTGAGTGTGAAGAAGAGCGAACCACAGACCACCTACTACAGTGCAACCAGAGCCCTGCCACATGCACAATGTAGGGCCTTCTCACAGTGATGCCAGAGGCACTCCCAAGTGGCCAGCTTCTGGTCAAAGGACATTTAGCGTAATGGCAAGTTCTTTTTTTTTAACTTTGTGTTTTTAAGTGCATTTAACTATACCCTTAACTTGCTTCTGACATGATAAATAAATAGGTAATATAAGTTTGTTCCCTTGACAAGGGCTCTTATTCTCTAACTCACATCTAAGGTAATTGGTTAGCAGGTCAGGAGTCAGGGACAGCAGCCTGTACATGAACTCTTGCAGCACACTGAAGGCAGTTGGCTCATCCATAATGGAAAAGGCAAACTTGAATACATGTGGCTCCATTGTTCTATGGTGTCAAAATAGTTTCTTTTATCCTGTAAAATTGAGTGTTTTGATCTAGGCCAGTGCTTCTCAAAATGGGCAATATTCCCATGTGGGCCCGGGGGGGGGGGGGCTACTGGAACGATTGTGGTGCAATTGGAGGGCGTTAAATACAAATTTTGGGGGGTGGAAGAGGTGAAAAATAAAGAAGAAAAATTTGAAAAACCATTTGAATGTGTTTCATCTGTTGTGTAACATACACTGAAAGTCATAGCCATTACTTTATTTTTCCAAAGGAACACACAAAATGCAAATTATAACCTATCACTGGTCAAGTCTGCTGACAGGTCTTACGTTTGTATCGTTTTGTAAAAATAATGCCTTGCATGGATCTGGAGAAGTTTGTCACCATGTTTAGTAAAGGTAAGTAATGTTTCTTTTTTAAAAAGTAATATTGCTATGCAAGCTGCTACATGATCCCTTTGCATACTGATCCAGACCAATATGGCTATGTCTTTGAATTGTAGTAACATATTGCATTACTCATAAGTGACAAGTAATATGTCAGGCCTGCACAACCAGCAGACCTCCAGGTGTTTTGGACTTGAGCTCCCAGGATTTGGAAACCCAAACATCTAGAGGGCCACAGGTTGCGCAGGCCTGTAATATGTTATTGTTGTGCCCCTTCAAATCATTTTTCACTTGTGGTATGTTTTCTTTGTTAGTTTTGTTCAGAAGGGGTTTCCTTTTGCCTTTCTCTGAGGTTGAGATGAGTGTGGTTTTTCCAATGTCACCCAGGGTGTCTCCATGGCTGAATGGGGATTTGAGCTTTGGTATCCAGAGTTGAAGTCCAGTGCTTAAACCACTACACCAGTGGTTCTCAACCTGTGGGTCCCAGATGTTTTGGCCTTCAACTTCCAGAAATCCTAACAGTTGATAAACTGACTGGAATTTCTGGGAGTTGTAGGCCAAACACCTGGGGACCCACAGGTTGAGAACCACTGCACTACACCATGTTGCATGTAAGTAACATATAACTTTTGAAAATTAATAAAAGTTGAGCAACATGTCAGTTTTGGAATGGTGCTTTGAAGCTCTGATTTTTTATTTTAAATGTAATTGATTTATATTTTGAATTGCATTACAGTTGAAATGGATTTCATTAAATTTTGCTTGAATTGCTGCAATTAATTTATGTGAAACAGTAAAGGGCTTTTAAGATATGTTCTAAACATGACAACATGTAGACAAATTGGGTTGCAAAGCCCAGGTAAGTTTACTGAAAATACAATGTCTTGAAGCATAATTACCATTGCTAATTTTCAGTGTTCCTTCCCAGAATAATGATCCCATAGCACTTTGTCCTCCAAAGCACTTTATATTGTTTTAGGTCTGCTTGTATGTTCCACAAACGCCCCACCACTTTTTTGCCCATGTCCAGCATTATTTTTAAAAATTTTAATTACATTCGGCCTACCCATAGATTTTAAAATGTGTTGTCCTACTGTTAATGCTTATGTTATTGTTTTATTGTTTTTTGTTTGATTGTAATTGCTTGTATTGTTGTTATTGCTTGTATTGTTTGTATTATGGGCTCGGCCTCATGTAAGCCGCATCGAGTCCCTTGGGGAGATGGTAGCAGGGTATAAATAAAGTTGATTGATTGATTGATGTAGCCAACACAAGGTGAGTGAGTGATTCAGGGCCAGAACCGACCTTGTTTTGGTGCATGGTCACTAGAAACACTATATATACAAGTGGAAAGTCAGCATTCTCGAATTGCATAATTACAACATAGCTTGAAATTGAGACTATCCCTCCTCCATTATCTGTGGATAACATCATTTTAAACTTTAGAATCTAAAGTAAGGCATTCTAAAGCATGCCCTAACTGGTAGTCTTACTAATCTATGTGTGGACCACATGTGATCAAAGGTTTCATTCAGGTCAACTGGGTTGAATCAATAACTGGGCCAGAGCACCTGCTGTAAATGAATATAGAAACCACTTACTTTCTTTAAACTGTATCCTGCGTGGAATATAATGGGAGGTAGTAAAACATTGAAGAAGATCGAAGGATCAAAGGTCATCTGCCAGAAATTTAAGAAAAGCAAGGTAAGAAGCATACAGCGTTGTTTTTGTTCCTATTTTATGTGGCTAGTTAAGTACCTTCCAAAATTCAGTATTCATCAAAATTCATAGCTACATTCACACATACATCTAAAAGTAATAACTATAATACAGTTGGAAGATAGCAAAATATAAAAGAGCAGAAATGTAAGTGTACAATTGTCACCCAAATAAGCAACTTTAACAGTTTCAAGCAGAGTAGCTGTATAAGTCTGTTGAATAAAATAAATCAGCAAAAGATATTATAGCTCCTTAAAAGATTCACCCAATTATTATGCCATAAAATTCCTCATTTTAGGGCAACACAGGACTTTCTATTATCTTTTAATCAAATTTGCATTTGATGAATTCTGACATTAGTGAAGAGGGATATCAACAAATTCATGTTCTACCCAAGTTGTCATGTAGGTGGGATATTATTTCTTCAATAGGATTAAAAAATATTATGGTTTTTTAATCAGAAATGGTGCTGAAAAATCATGAACCCCAGAACAATCATTTTGACAATACTTAAGATTTGGCTTGAAGGATGTATAAAACACAATTGCCGTCATTCTGGATAAAGTAAGGACTGTCAAACCTGAGAGCTTATTGATCACTATTACTGATAGCGGTTTCCCTGGATCATAAACAGTTTGCTCTCATTTTCAAACAATTTCATGCAACAAGAGGATTGGGTGAATTGACTTAATATGTAATTTTACAAATTAGCAACATCACACAACTCTTAGTTAACTTTTCCGTTCCCATTTGCCCTACTGGGAAATAGCGACACAGGAATGAGACAAATACTTGTGCCAGTCTTGTTGCCCTAAGGAGCTTGGGCTTCAACATGCTAAAGTAAAGATGATGCAATATTGATGCAACAATGGGAATCTTTGCTGGCACAATTGTGCTGGATTCAACTTTTGTACATATAGTTGCAAAACTGGCTGTGCAACCTTCTGTTTAGCTTTTCTACAACCAGTTTGCACAACTGCTTGATCGGTGTATTTTTTTTATTGGATACCACCACCTCTATACTAGTTCTGAATAGATGCAACAGACAATTGAATAGGTCTTATGGTGTAACAATGGCATGATTGGAAACAAGTTATGACATTTTCAGACCAACAATCCCTGGAGTATCAGGCTACTCCTTGTCCCAGTGGCATGAGAAGGATGCCTATACAAACATAGTCATTATCACAAATATGTTAATGTGAATATGAATTGTAGATATGAATTGTAGAATAATCTGTTAACAGGTTAAAGGGCACTAAGTGTTATCCAATAGATAAACAGATGTAACGAATGATAGCGAATAACTTTTTTAGAACAAGCTAATTCTGAACTACATTTTTTAAAAAATATACGTATAGACCATCTCAGTTCTCTGTGTATCATATATTTCTAAATAGATTACTGCACTGTGCTGTATTTGACCTTTAAAACAATCCTGAAATTTCAGTTGGATTGAATAGCCAAAATCCTAACTGAACAAAAATAAGTGACTTAAAAATAAAATAGAATGATACTTATAAGCTGAGTATCCAAAAGGCTTAGAAACAGATTTCAGACTTTTTGTATTTTGGAAAATCTGCAATTGCATATATATATACATAATGGGATATCTTGGAGATGAGACCCAAGTCTAAACCCAAAATTTATTTATGATTCATATACACTTTGGACATATAGCTTGAATGTAATTTTACATGATATTTCAATAATTTTGTGCATGAAACAAAGTTCATGTATACTGAACCATCGGAATGTAAAGGTGATACTATCTCATCCACTAATGTGGATACTTTTAGATTTTGGAGGATTTTGGAATTCTGAATATGAGATACTTAACCTGTAATTATGTTTAGGGCAATGATTTGACTTGAATTTCATGTACCATGGAGTGAAAGAATAATCTATATTCCCTTTCCTTGGTATGCCTCCTTCAACACTTTATTAGGGGGACTCACAACTAGGATTTGACCTTTTAGTTTAATCTTTTTCAACAGTGTTACCTTGCTTCTAGTTTTATAAAGCACAAAAGGAGCTACAATTCTAAACATTTGTATATATTTCTCGGTGCTTGGCTAGTTCAACGAAGTGAAGACTAAGGCTTTGAATTAATGGCTTTTTCAAGACAAGTTCTGCAAGTCATGTTAGAATTAATATAGTTTTGGTACCACAACACATACATTTATCACTACCTCAGTATCATTAGGCTTTCAGTGTTCTTTCTAACAGTGTTTTTCCACCTGGAGGACGGGACCCCTGGGGGGATCATGAGGGGGTGTCAGAGGGGTCACCAAAGACCATCAGAAAACACATGATGGTCATGGGGGTTCTCTGTGGGAAGTTTGGCCCAGTTCTATCATTGATGGGGTTCAGAATGCTCTTTGTAGGCAAACTATAAATCCCAGCAGCTACAGCTCCCAAATGTCAAGATCTATTTTCCCCAAACTCCACCAGTGTTCACATTTGGGCATATTGAGTATTCATGCCAAGTTTGATCCAGATCCATCATTGTTTGAGTCCACAGTGCTCTCTGGATGTAGATGAACTACAAATCCCAAACTCAAGGTCAATGCCCAACAAACCCTTCCAGTATTCTCTGTTGGTCATGGGAGTTCTGTGTGCCAAGTTTGGTTCAATTCCACCATTCAGAATGCTCTTTGATTGTAGGTGAACTATAAATTCCAGCAACTACAACTCCCAAATGACAAAATCAATCCCCCCCAACCCCACCAGTATTCAAATTTGGACATACTGGGTGTTTGTGCCAAATTTGATTCTACGAATGAAAATGCATCCTGCATATCAGATATTTACATGACAATTCATAACGGTAGCAAAATGACAGTTATGAAGTTGCCAAGAAAATAATTTTATGGTTGGGGGTCACCACAACATGAGGAACTGTATTAAGGAGTTGTGGCATTAGGAAGGTTGAGAACCACTGATCTTACAAAGTTTCACTAGCCACTGGTTAGTTTAAATTGTAAACCTGCTGGATTACAAATGTTATTTTTACAAGTCATTAGATTTCACTGCTTTTCCAGTAGATCCTGCTAGAATAATATCTTTAAAAGTGGGAGCATGTCATTAACAAAATGGCCTGAAGTCCCTTTGTTCCAATGAAGAGAGTCTCCTTTATGGGGTTATGATCCTGGATGAATTATTTAGTTCTGTAATAATACAGCCTGACTCCAAATTGACTTCCTTTTTAAAAATCCAACAGATAGTTCAACTTGATAAACAGGAAGTAAGAGCTCAGCATTTTTTGAGCATTTTGCTTACTTTGAATTATTAAACTAATGTGAACTGGCTGGCCAATAATAGCCAGTGGTAAATTTTGCTGTGCTGACAACTTTATGGGGGGAAATATGGAGAAAGTTTTTTTTCCATTTAGTCTTCCATACTGACAGTCTCAAATGCCACATTAACTTGGGGATTAAATCAGTGAGCAGGTTTTATGCACCTGCCTGTTTGGGAAAGGGGACTAATTTCATTGTAGTTATTCAAAACAAGGCAATAACATTATATGTTCCTATCCATAAATACAGCAGAGTGAAAACTAATTTCAGCAAAGGCAAGTGTGCCAGGTTTAGGATTACAGAAACTAACCACACAAAAAAAAATCATATGGTTGTGGTTGCTTTGTTGTTCTACTTCCTTGTTAAGTATAAAAGGGGAACATAATTAAATATATTACATTTATGACCATGAGAAGAGTGGTATAGGACCAAAGCCTACCTGCTCCAACTTCTTGTTTCTCAAAGCCTCTAATTTGTGGATAAGAATCATGTAGATCTTCAGAAGTTGTTGGACTATAGTTACAGCATTTCTCACCACTGCCTAAGCTGGCTGGGAGTGATGGAAGCTTGAGTCTAACACCATCTGAAGAACTACTTATTTGCATGTTTGTTCTAACTAGAAGCCTCTGGGAAACCATAAGATGATTTGATGAATATTGTCTTTTTCCAGTGTAGTTTTCAGCAATTTGTGATCAAAAGTAATTATCATCATACTTAGCCATGACAACTGTATCAATACCATATAGGATTATGTAGCATATGCTAAATAAGTTATATAGCAATGTGTAGGACAGTGTTCAGACTCTTTGGATTGCTTCCTGTGTATGAACTTTGTTTAAAGGGAAACTATAATTTAGCACTATATCCAAATCATTTCAAGCTTCATTCAGCAGTTGGCTTCCTTTTTATTACACTGCACATTACTTAGTCATCCAAATATTATTCTACCGTGTTGTTGAAGGCTTTCATGGCCGGAATCACTGGGTTGTTGTAGGTTTTTCAGATTGTATGACCATGTTCTAGAAGCATTTTCTCTTGATGTTTCACCTGCATCTGTGGCAAACATCCTCAGAGGTTGTGACCTCACAACCTCTAAGGATGCTTGCCACAGATGCAGGTGAAACCTCAGGAGAAAATGCTTCTAGAACATGGTCATACAACCTGAAAAACCTACAACAACCCACTATTATTTTACCGCTTGCTTGGCAACTAGGAGTTGGTGGAAGAGAAGTTCTAAAATATGGAATCCACAATCACAAGATATGGAGATGATCATTACTGCCAATGGCTTTGAAAGAGAGATTCACAGGAATTAAGATTATCAATGCTTGTTAGGCATGAGAATTATATTTTAATTCCAGGATCAGAGGCAGAATGCCTCTGAATACTTCACTGACAACATTGGTAGGAGATGGCTCTGTCTGTTTCATTTGGCTAAATGTACTAGAATGAAGGATAAACAAGCGTTGATGCCTCAAAAATGATGATAGATGTGTTTATAGCATCATTATTTTGCATAGAAGTAACATGTAGAATTTTATTACATTTAAAATACAACATCGTCATATGGGCTGATTTGCCTGTCGTAAGCCACTTCCTTGCCCCTTTCGCACAGAGTCCATTACATGTTGCACATCTACTTCAGGTCTTGCTTTGTGGTGAAAGTGAAGAGGAAACAGCATCCCGTGTTGCCTTTGCTACAATGGGGGGGGGGGGGGGGGAGCCGGGTGAAGGACACTTCTAACCCATGGGATGGGATTGGTGATAAGTCAGGTGATGTGATAAGTTGGGGAGTGGGGTTAAATGCAAACGATCATTTCTTTCTCATTCATAGGTTTTCTGGAAGTCTAGGAAAACCTCATTCAGTTGAAAAACTGCTTGTACCAAACTTAAATCGTGCTGATGTTGAACAGAAATGATAATGTGAACTTATCTACCTCACAATCACTTTACCTTTTGTAGCATGGCATTGCCTTGGTGTGAATTGACATTATGCTGGCTGATTTCCCTTTTGTACTGATACTCATACACTTGATTTGTTATGTTGACAAGCAAAGTGGGCAAACCAGCTTCGAGCTTCTCGCAGCCATAGACAATCCCCTTTGCAAAATCAGATGGTGCTGTAGCATACCGTAAAATTAATCCCATGATAAGACCTAAAGACAAAAAGAGAGAAGAAATGTCACTAAAAACATGACGAAGGACAGTTAGCATAAAGTCCTAAAATGTAGTCATTTTTGTTGCTGGCAAGTCAATATAGCATCTCTTTTTTGCAACACATCCTTTGCCCTTGCTGTAGACCATCCTTCTTCAATCTACCATCCTTCAAATGGGATAAACTGTGGGTGCCATTTTTCTCAGCTGGTATGGTTAATAACCATCACACTAGTTAGAGATAGTTCTTGAAACCCTAACCCATTTGAAACACATTTATTTGACTAAAGAAAACTGAATAAAAAATGACCTACTTTTGGTGTTTCTATTTGGGGAAACTCATACAGTGTCCTCCTGCATATTGAATCATCAGTAACATGAGCAGCAGTACCTTCTTATCTGGATCCAGCTCCTTGAAATTCCATTAACCTTCTCACTGCCCATGATATCCATTTTAGTGAGGGTTGGTTGGTATCTTTAGAGTACCTCTTCCCAGGGAGATCTGACTATCATCTACCCTGTCCTCCCTCTGCAAGAACCTAAAAACATGGATATTCCATTGTGCCTTTGATTAGGTAATTCCAAAGAATTGACCCTTTAATACCTAAGTTCTGGCACTTTAGCATGGCCCTCCACTCTACAATCCTGACATTTATAAAGCCCAAGGACATTACTCTCCCATCTCTGCCACTGAATTTTGCACTTTCCCTTAGCTCTATCTAGGAATTTTGCACAAACTCAGAGCCCTCTGAACTCAGCACTTACATTGCTCCCATTGTACTGTTTTCATGATGTTATGTTTTATTGTGATATGGTTCTATTTGGTTGTGTTTTGCTTTTATTTTATTGCATTACATTTTAACTCTGTGCTCTCTGGGCTTGTCCCTTTGTAAGCCGCCCCGAGTCCCTTCGGGCAGATGGAGGTGGGGTATAAAAATTAGGTTATTATTATTATTATTATTATTATTATTATTATTATTATTACCTGTATGAGACTAGTTCATTTCTATCACCTGAATTCTGTTAATGACACCTCATGTGTCATCTACAGCAAACTAGAACAGCATGTTCCAAAGCAGTGCAGAATGTTCTCTAAAACTATACCACACAGATATATTATTATAATCTGGATTATGTGTTTTCTACATATTCTTCTTTAAAGGTCCTATGCCAACAAAAGCTACAGTATGCAGTTAAAATAGCTGATTGCTGAGACCTAGTTGGTTGATCTTGTGCAAGTCATGGTTTCTCAGCCTCAGAGAAAGGCAATGATAAATCTCCTTCAAATAAATCTTGACAAGAAAATCCCTAGAATAAATCAGAATTAATTGAAAGCTCATAACAACAGCAATAGTACCAATGACGACAATGAGTCTGGAATCACAATATTTGGCTTGTCATAAATCTGCCCATGATTAATATGAGAAGGTATGCACATAAGCCTCTGTGCATTTCTGACAATAATTCTGATTATTTGTCTGCACTAACCCTTGCAAATAGTGGCATCAGCAGCATATCTTCTGCCAGGACATATTTGGATCCAACTCAGCTTTTCTATCTGAATTAACTATTTTTAATTTAATCTTTTTATCTTATCACATATTAAAATCACATATTACAAACATCAATAAGCTATTTTTATTTTGAGAGTCTTATATGAAGAGATACAATAAGAGATATAATACTGGTTATTTTAGAAAAGATTGCTATTAAATCCAGTAATATAAAAATGTAACAAAATGAAACCAATTTTGAATAATCCAAAACATGCCACAATCCATTGATATAAATAGTGATCCACAGTATTATTTGAATGCATTCACTGCAGCAAGTACTAGTCAAATATTTGTGTACTTTTAGTGGATGATTAAGTGCAAAATGTGTAACTTTCTGATATTAGAATTATTTAAAAATTGGGCTGTGAGCTACTTTTGACCCCTCTTCCAAACCTCTCCCAAGCAGAAATTTGTCTTGCCTCCTGCTAACTGAGCTGTTAAGACTGAAGACGTCAGAAATGGGAATTGGGGCCTTATATATGTGAAAGCTCTACTGCAGAGCTAAGAGCTGTCTTGCCATTTACTGTGTGAGTGGGACACATAGATCAGACAATACAAGTGATTTGCCTATCACATTTAGTTTGGCTCTTGGGGAAAGGGCAAGTGTCACATCCAATAAATAACGTAAAGAGAAAATTGAATCAAGGAACGCTGGCTATAGTATTAAGACTGTCAATAGGACTACTAGAGCTGAACATTAAGGCCAAAAGTAAGAATCTCTGACTGTCATGGCTTAATGTGGGCCCTTATGAAAATGTATTTCAAAACCTCTGCTAATTTAGTTTGAATATGCCTCAATATTTTGTTACATAACTTCTGACTGTGAATGAAACTTTCCAAGTTTTCAACTCAAATTCAGTTAAAAACATTTCGTTTTTGTCAGTAGTGGCTGTGGCTTCTATGAGTTGAGTAGTGAATCCACTCTGGTTATTAGATTTTATTCCACACCTGAAAGATGCTGTCCAAGGTACTGAATCCTATCTCCCAAACAGGTTTAGCATTTTGGTTAGCTCTTTTGAAGTTCAGAGGACAACCTAGAATAGATTTGCTATTTTTCATTTCTAAAACTCATAATCATACTGCAGAATGTTTCTCTTAATATCTTTTTATTTGAGTGTGTTTTTGTACATCTTGCCACCTTTCCTCAAAGAACTAAATATAATGAGATAACTTTTAAGCCTACCAACATGTTTGCCCCATTCACATAAGAAATGCAGGGTTATCAATTTGCTCAGTATCAGAATATACATAGGCCCTAGTCATCCCTGGCATCTCCAGTTAAAAGGATCAGCTAAGGTTAGTGCTGGAGAACCAGGCAGAGAAAACCAAAAAGTGCAAAACAGGCAAATAGGTTCACTGCTATATGACAGCTCCTTGTGTTTGCATATTTTAAAACAAACAGAGGCATACCATTGAGGAGAAGAAAAGTCTGTTCCTGTCCTTTCCAACTTAGTATATACTAGCTGTGCCCTGCCACGCGTTGCTGTGGCCTTTAGTAAGAGTTTTGAAGTCTCTGCCTGGCCTCTCTTCCTTCCTTCACTCGCCCTCTTTCCCTCTTTCTCTCTCTCACACTCCTTCCTTTCCCCTCTTTCTCTCTCTCTCTGGCATCCCTCCTTCCTCCCCCTTCTTTATGCTTGTGTGTAAACTTGAGTATCTTCTGTTGGTCATGGGGGTTCAGTGTGGCATGTTTGCCCCAATTCTGTCGTTGGTGGGGTTCAGGATGCTCTTTGAGTGTTGGTGAACTCTGAATCCCAGTGACTACAACTCCCAAATGTCAAGGTCTATTTCCCTCAAACTCCATCTGTGTGGATATTTGGGCATATTGAATGCTTTGGTCCGGATCCATCATTGTGTCTTCAAAGTCGCCCCCTCCCTTCTCCCCACCCCTTCCCTCCCTGAGTCACTCCTTCCCTCCTCCCACCCCCTCCAGAAAGACACGCCCCCTCCCTTCGCCCACCCCTTTCCTTCCAGGAGTCAATCAGGGAGGGAAGGGGTGGGGTGAAGGGAGGGGGCGTGTCTTTGGAGGGGGTGGGAGGAGGGAAGGAGTGACTCAGGGAGGGAAGGGGTGGGGCGAAGGGAGGGGGCGTGTCTTTCCGGAGGGGGTGGGAGGAGGGAAGGAGTGACTCAGGGAGGGAAGGGGGGGGGCGAAGGGAGGGGGCGTGTCTTGGCTTGGAGTGTGCAGAGTGGGGCTTGGAGGCAGCGTGGGAGGAGTAAGATGAAGGAGGGGGTGGAGGGAAGGGGGCGGGTGGAAGTTGCGTTCTTTGTGTGTGTGTGTGTGCCGTGGGGAAGTGCGGGGACGTGTTCGTGCTGGGCGGGGCGAGGGAGGGAGGGAAGTGCGTTGGCCGTTCGGCCATGTGTGCGCACGCGCTGGGGACTTTGCGCCAGTGCGCATCCTCAGTTGTTTTGCCGTTTTTTCTGTGTGTGGTTGTGTTGTTTTGATTTCTGACTGGATTAGTTTGTACCTAGTGGGTTGTCCTTGGGGCATGGCAATTTTGGTGGAGTTTTGTGGAGGGGTTTTAGAGTTTTGCTTCCCCGTTGGACGCCAGTAGGAAATTTATAGATATAGATGATAAATGGAAGTTCTGTGGAGTATGACTGGGCTTACTCTAGTTGTAGATTGGACCTTAAATCATTTACCTGCAGTGATGCAAGTAATTTGGCAAGTGTCTGAAGAAACAGAAAGTAGCAAGAAGCAGTATGGGAAGAAGCAGAGCTTACCTACTAATACTAATACTTTTTACATAAAAAGGAAGCCATACACCTCTACTATTATCTTCCCACATTTCCCAGAGGGGTAACCATATTCATCTCTGACAGAAAGGAAATGCGAAGCACAATTTAATGACATAAGACAAGGGTTACTAATTATTTTAATCTACTGATAGATTTATATATTTGTTAATACTTTCATTCTACTCTGTTCTTTACTTCTTAGCACACCTTCATGAAAGCACATATTTCTGAGAAGAATACATAAGCAATTTGAAGTGACAATGAACTGACCTGGACTTTGGTTTTAACTGGCGTGTTTTTAACAACTGTTTATTTAATGTTGTTTTAATGAATTTGTTGAATGTTTTTATGATTGTGATGGTACCAAATGGTGCTTGCTATGAGGCTGCCTTGAGTCCTTCCGCAGGGGTGAGAAGGCCGGGGTACAAGTGTATGAAATAAATAAATATTTCTGACTTCTTTCGAGTATGAAATACTTTTGAAATTTAGTGATTTAGTGTGACTTCAGAATTAGGTGTAATGCTCTCACAATACGCCAACATATCTTGATGGACAATCTTTTTTTAAAAAAATGGATGAAGAATATTTTATTTGTCCTCTGCAAGCTGAAAAAAGAGCTCTATTTGTGATCTAATAGTATTGATGCTCAACAGTGCTAAAAGCAATATTTTGTTTGCCAATTACTTTTAATATTGCTAAACATACAAGTGAAT